CATTTGCCTTCTTTTGGCGTGCTGCTTTATGGCACCCTTGAATGTTCCTGCATTAGCCATAGCCAGTGACATCCCGTAGAATGGGCAAAAATGATCATCTATAGCTTTTCTTGTGATTTCTAGACCTACCTTGTATGCAGCTCAGAGCCAACTCTGCCCTATGCCAGCCCTCAGGCTGCCAAGCACTGGAAGGCAACCTGCCACTGAGTCCTTCACTGGACACAGCCGTCAACACAGCCAGAGCCTAGGAATTAAAAGAGTTAGCTAATGGCATGGGGGTTTTATTTTCTTTTTTTCTTTTTTAAGAGAAAATTCCTGGGTTAATTGTTCCCCCCTAAAAAAAAAAAGAGAACCCCAAAACTGAGCCAACAAACAGAACTACTGTGCAAAGCTGTAGAGTGTAGGAAGGCAAAAAAAAAAAAGTCAAGTTTAGTTATTTGCTGTAGGGGATGTCTGCCAATGTAATTGGCTGTTGTACCCAATTACTGATTGAAAAAGCTCTATTATTTAATAATTTGATGTTACAGCACTACTAAACAGAAACGTAAATTGTCAGAGCTGCGTAGTTTTTTCTCTTGGAGTTGGCAGGTAGGAGGGCTATGTTGCACGCTGAGGGTTTGCAACTGAAACGTGAGCAGTTCAGGACAAACAGGTCTGGAAAGTATCCAGGCTCGAATGCAGTGTTGCTTTCTTCGATCTGTGGGTCTGAAAATGTCTCTGAGAAAGAAAGGACAGCCTGGAGGAGGAAGTCCATGGAAAAAACTGGGCTGTACAGCCCACACGGCACTGCAGCACTGCCAAATTTTACCACAAACTGTGTACTGAAGTTGCGTGTCGGTATAGATGTATTGACAGCCGATGTTCTTTGAATTAAATAACAGAGTAAACATGGATTTGTAATCTAAAACCTTTCTCCTGCCATGTTTAATGATTTTTTAGTTCAGCATGTACATAAATAATCAGCAAGTCAGATAACACAACTTACACTTTACAAAGTGAGATAATTGAAGATAAAATATAAACTGTCTCTATTATGCACAGAAATGTACATAACCTCTGCCAAAAACCCACAGAAGTACACTTGTGCAGCTTTAGTAGTCACAGGCACTGAAAGACAGAAGGCTTAAATATTGCCTTTTGTTATAATGTAGAAAACATAAAACAGTACCAAGTGTAATAATTTCTGAAAACTATTGGAGAATAAAATAGATTTGAGATTTGCATTCAGGCATTAATTTTTAAGATAATAATTCTAATTAAATTAATTAGAAAAAAAAAAAAATGACATTTAAACACGCTACTCTGAGCAGAACTTGCTTCTAACTGGGCCATTCAGTAATAGTAAAATAACACTGAGTCATATTTGATACCACTGTTCTGAAAACTCAACACTCTCTGTCGCTGAGACAATGCTCTGTAATGCTCCTTTCTTCTTGTTGTAAGCGTACCATTATTTCATATTCTTTTTTTTCATTCCTCTGTTTAAAAAGAAAAAAGTGAGCCGAAGCAGCACAACCTTTGGTAGAATGATCTGTGACACCCCGTAATCTTTTGATACTGCCTTGATTTCTAATTGTGTTTTTCACATTTTTAGCAAAAGAAATATGAAAAAAATCAGAAATGTAACCTATATTATTATACTTTAATGTGATGTTCTACTTTTCTGTTTGTAGTTCTTGAAGTTTTTGTCTTACTTCATTAAACATTTAATAAATCACTGCCAGTTTTGTGACAGATTTTAACCATAACACAAACAGCGGGAGGTGTAAACTCAGTTCAGTTCGTATAGGCATATAATATCCGTGTCGACATCATCATCCCCTCAAGGCATATTGGCAAAACGGCCAATGGAAGCTAAGCTTTTTCCGACAAAGCTTCGAAAATAAAGTTTTCTTCTTTTATCTTACTACAAATCAATTGGAGCCCTTACAGCAAAATCCTATAAAATAACTTCAAACACCGCTTCTTAGTCTAAAAATTTGTATTATGGCTAAAACTCTTTGAAGTTTTATGACTGAAGTTTGGAGAAAAATGATTTAAGTGCTATCTGCTAGACATCAGAGTGTCAAAATTTCGCTCAGTTTTCTTGACACATAAACTGCTACCTACTGTATGTTTTTTAGGATTTTTTTCTTGCTTTTAACCACCTAACCCAGCCTGCTTGATGAAAGTTTCTTAACCACAGTTTATCCATTGAATTAATACCCTTTTAAGCTTCAGCTTACAATAACTGATTATTTCATTTTTGATTTTTAACTTCTCTGACAACGCAGGTGGCAGTGGGATGCAGAGAGCTTCCATGGAAGCATCGTGTTGGTTTAAAAAGAGAAAAGAAAGCAGGTGGAGTGCTAAAAATAAACCAAGATTGGAACCTGAGACCACGTCTGTCTGGCTGCTCCTGCTACAACAAGGCTGGAGAGGCACCCACGGCATTCCCGCAGGAGCTGAGGAAGGGGTGACAGGTATGTGCTGGGTGCAGTGTTCTTTCCCTGGGGGCCATGGAGGCCAGAATGGGTGCCCAACCACACGTGGGTCCTGCACCATGGCATGCCTCCCAAGGGTCTGCAGCCAGGCCTGTCCTCTGGGCACCCTCAGTTAGAGGACAGCAGTCCATTCTCTGATTTCTGTCCTCATAGTTCTGGGGGTGCCACTCTCCCAGCAGCGCTCTCGCACAGGTCCCCTGAACATTTCTGAGGTCAGCACTCTCTGTGCAGGACAACTCTGTCCCCTCTGAAAGATCCCAGGACCTGCTGACTGCAATCTGAACTGCTTTGTTTGGTTAAAATGCCCATTGAGGGCAAAAACCTGAGGAAGAACTTTGAAATTTGGGGCATAAAAACAAAAGCTTGGCCTAAGCCGTGCCTTTTCCATTTAGTTTTTTATTTAAGAAGTAATAATAAATATACACCAAAAGGTTATTCTCTGTAGGATAATGGTGTTGTGTTATCAGAGCTGTATCAAAGTGACAGTGTCAGAATTTAGTGGAATGGTTTGCATATAAAAATTAAACAAGGAGTGTAAAATCATCTGTGGAGAGCAATGGAAAAAAAATGTGGAGAAGAAGAAGAAAATCAGTGACATCCTGCAGACTGCAGCCTTGCAAAATTTTATTCACCCAAGATGAGTGATTTGTTTTGATGGGCAAGAAAATATAATCATTTGAGGGAAAAAAGAGAGAAAGAGGAGGGGGTCCATTATCATCAAGTTGGAAAAGGGCGGGTGAATAGATTTTGTGCCTGAGCTGGTAAATTTGTAGTACAGCTTTGCATGGCTGGAATAATATAATAAACTGACTTAAATATAAATGCCATTTAGGAACTATTCCATAGTGAACAGTTAAAATGATGGCATTCAACAGAACTGCCACAACAGAGCCTGCTGTTGCTGCTAATTTGCTGAAGTAGATCTGCTGTCTTTACTTCCTCCGCTGCTCCTGCTGCACCTCGAGGCATGCTGAGGGCTCATCCATCATGTGCTGGCTCATAACAAGGCAAGGAGAGGGAAGCTCAATTGTAGTGTACAAGAAACTGAAGTGTAGGTCCAAAAGGTCACAGGAAACCAGCAACTGTTTAGAATGGGTGAGCTGGGAAAAAGATCCTGTGAAGGAAAACATAGCATGAGAACAGTTCGCAGGCCCCTCCTGAGCATCCATGGGGGCTGCTGCTAGCGGCAGTGCACTCGGAGCTGTGTGCAGGAAGGGCATCCAGAGCATGCCAGGGACAAAGCCCCGGAAGGCCACATCGTGCTTGATAAGCTTTTAATGCAGAACAATTTGAAATTGCCTTTAATGCTCCAATGGAGAACCGAGATACGCAAGATTTTTCCCTTCTGTCATGTGGCATTAGGGCAAAAGACTGGATAATAACAGCGATACATTAGTCCTGCCAGAGAACTGCACTGACACATGCAACATGGGCACGTGGGCATATTGTCAGCACCTCCATGAGCACTGCCATGACCTAACTTTCAAGCAGCTGCACTCACGTCACACAGCTCACGGCTCTGAGCAGGCCCCGGGCTCTAGCAGGCAGCTTTGGAAATTTGTCTTGCCTTTTCCTGATCTTTTCACCTGGCCTTTTGTAAGCTGGTAGGTAGAGAAAGCCATGCTGGTCCATGGCGTCACACAGTGGCTGAGTGAGCATTAAATCCCTTAGCAAACAGTTTAACACACTCTTCACAAACCAATTCTCCAAGATAAGCCATCAGGCTGCATGCAGATGACAAAGCTCGTTCTGACAACACAATCCAGATTTCATGCTACCAGTCACGTCGATCAACATCTGAACTAATGTCAGAGTCTTCTCTTACTAATGAGCTGCTGCACTGAGCTGCAGCCTTGCTATCATTCAGGTAGCTGTAATGAGGTAGAATGAATGGCAAGACCTCTCTTCAGAAGCTTCCTCTCATCCAGCCATAGAGGGGCTTCACCATTCACTTATTCCAGTATAAACCATGAGTCTCTTTCTGGTCTCTACCAGCATCACATACGCCCTTACTCTAGCATCCCATTTACATGCTAATGCAGCTGTTCAGAGAGTTTATTCCAGGAAAGAATATTGACAAAAAAAAAAGCATGTGATCATTTTTTTGTTTTCTAATCACTCGCAGTCATATGTTTGCATATAAGAATGTCTTAATGCATACCTTGAATTATAATGAAATTACATTGCCACGTTCTCCAAGTTGGACACCTGCATGTTGTACTCTGCTCTCCTTCAATTACCTGTGCACCAGGCACATTCATCTAGCTGCTCAAGCTTTGATTTTAAGCAGCAGCTTCCACACTGTGGTATATGCTATTTACACATCCCTTAAAATCACTGGAGGAACCAGAGGGCTGTGCTCCAAATCCATAGCTTCCCATCAATATAACAAAGCCACAATAATGATTTCTTTATTTTTCTTTGCCCGTCATACTGCTGCTGAATGGCCTGAACTGAACGGTTACTGCCAGGCCCAGAGGTTGAGTCCAAAGCAGAACTAGGGCAGTTTGCTAGGAAAGTAATTTATAGCCTCAGTGATTGAAGAAGCACCCATAAACACATGCTGCAGGAGAGGAGTCGATGAGCTATAAGGAAAGCTCCAGCATTTGTTACAATCTTCCACTCAGCCTCTCTATGGTATTCTTCTTTAGTTACTAAATTAAGAGTAGAGTGGTTTTGTTTCTGTACTGGGGTTAACTCTCAGCGCAGACAAGTTGGCTATTATTTGTTACTCCTATCAAAACAGTCATTATAGAAAACCTGGGCTCGGATTCATATTGCAGACTGAGGTTGTGACTTGCATCTTTCTCATCTTCCCAAATATTTCAGTCAGGTTTTGCTTTTCTCTATCTTTAACCCACATCTCATGTATCTCAGTGGCAGGTATCAGCATGCAATTATTTACTCACTTCTCATTCAATATCACATTAAAAGGGTTATTGAGTTTAAATCTTTAAGACTAATGAGCTGCTGGTTAACACTTTTGAAGCAATTAACCAGCAGTATTGTTGCTTATCAACTGACAGAGGCATAGCTGCATTCACATTTCTCCATGGAGCACATCACACACTTGTTTGCTTGGAGATGACAGCAAGAGTGACCTGTCCACTGAGCCCGTTGCAATGGTTCCTTCCCATGGTCCCTGGCATTGGCAGGGCAGATACATCAGTGGGGCTCAGCAGGATTGTTTGTGTTGGTTACCACATCCTCAGTCAGGACAGCTCTCAGAGCAGAGCAGCTTCTCACACTGCTGCCTGTGCCAGGCCCCTGGCCAGGACTCCTCGGCAACTCTGTCACTGCCAGGATGCTGCAGCACTCCCCCAGGGCTGGTGGCATCTGGCATGGGCTAAAGCCGCCCTTCAGGCTCCTCTGGCTCCTGCTAAAGGACCAACAAAGCAGACTGGAGAATGGGTCAGCACAAATCATCTTGAACAATGGCAGTGCCATTATCCTTGACTAAGGCACACAGAGGAAAATTTGGTAAGGGTGTGATGAAGGGAAGGACTCAGATCCCTTGATTTTTTAATGCTAAAAAGCCTATAAGGGAAGTAGTTTGGAAGGTATGGAGTTTCCTTGCATCTTTTATTTCCTGGACAGCTACAGTTTCTTTCTTGGAAATGTATATTTTCTCCAGGATTAGCATTCACTTGAGGTTTACCCTTTATTAATTTAAATGGAGGCTCTCCTTTTCTTCTCAAGATTGCCCATGTCAGAAGGCTCAACGTTCCTAAGAGCAGCAGTCCCATTCCTGCCAGCCTAGCACGTCAGCCACAAGTCCTGTAGTGAGGTAGCCCTGCCCTGTGCTCTGCCCACAGGTTTTCGCTAGCAGAAGTCTGCAGACCCCTTCATTGCAGTACAGAGAGGGCTCCCACTACTTAGAACACAGCTGTTGTTCCCTAATGGTACAGAAGAGCACTGCTGGGAAAGGATGGCAGCACTGAAGGTAGTGTAAATAAAATAAATCCATGGGTCTACAGAGAGGTAATGTTCCACCTGAGATTTATATGCAAGCCCTGAAAAGCAACCCAGTGAAAGCATCGCTAATTAGAATGATAAAACATTTGTGTACAGAGAAGAGATTATTAAAAGCATGAATTATTTCTTATTAGGATAATAGCATCTAATTAAATGTTGAAAGAGGTGGACTGCAGTTTACATTGTAAAATGATCTGTTAAATACATTCCCGTTAACATCAATACAGCTATTGACAAACAGATCCAATTTTGATTTACTTTGAGAGAGTAGACAACAGCAAGTTTTACTACCACTATCTTATTTTACAAGCATTAATGAACAATTAACCAACACTAGCACTCTTTCCATCTGTAATCCTGTAGTAGGATCACTAATCTCTACCACTAGCAGCTAATGATGAAGGTCTCTTAAGCTTTACTTCTTATCTCAGCCAGTTCTTAATACTTGCATAAGTATGCTTTCTGAGCAGGCCGGCCCCCCGTTGCTCTGCAACTGGAATACAAAAGACTGGTGAAATTTTTGAAGGGTTTTCTGTTCAATAACACTTCTATACTTATGTTTGCCTTCCTACAACAACAAACACAAGTGATCAGCAGAGGACTAGCAAGGTCACCAAGGGCTCTGTGTTTCCATACTTGTTCTAATACTTATAAGAATGTATTCATGCCCTATTATTTATATTCCCTGGCTGCTCAGGCAGAAGCTCTAAACTGAAATGAAATAAAGGAGGAAAAATAAAAGACTAAAACAGTATTTACTTCAAGAACAAGTTTGCTGTTTGTATCGAACAAAAAAAAAAAGTTAGAAAGTGACTATCATTAAAAATACATGCAAGACAGATAAACTGAAGTTTTGATAGTATACGTTTTCTAACTTCTCTTTCAAAGGATTCCTGCTTACACCATACACATGAGATGCATACAGCAAGATGGCAGGGATATCGCCAAGCCAAGATAAGCCAGCAGCATCCTCTCAGCCGGAAATGCAGCAGGGTCATGAGCTGTGTCACAAGACAGGACACTCTGGGAGCCACGCAGGAAAAGAATGGGGTGCAGGTAGGATTTCACAATACAGGCCCTCCTCTTTTTCAAGGGTGTATAATCAACAAACATACAGAGGGTGTGGTTAGGCTGGTATCTACAGATTGTGTAACTAGAAAGATTATCACAGTGGAAAGGGATAATCAAAAATAAATGAAAACGCTCACCTCCATCCTAGGTTTACAGAAAAACTACAAAGGCAACAACCTCCAGAAAAAGATCCTTTCTCAGTGGCAGTCAGCCCTTAAATGGGGTCTAGGAGAGGTGCAGCCAGGCTCCACCCCTTCCTGTCACACAGCTGAATTGCCTTTACCCATGATCCCATGGCTGACTCAGTGCTTGCCTCAGGTGATCAATCTGAGGTTCAGGCTGTGATTCAACAGTTCCTATACAAAGGGTAACTTTAGCTTATATGAGAAACAGATGAATTTAAGAGCATAGATTGCTGCAGAAGGTGAAGAACAGGTGAGCTGCAGAAGACAAGCTCAGTGAGGGCGGTGGCACTGGTGATGGGACTCTGCCTGCACCAGCTGTGTGGCTGGCACTGCCAATGCATCTCCACTTGAAGGTGGAGGTTGTGGTCCAGGCAACAGGTTACCAGGAGCTGGGAACAAACATATCCACAGGCTATATCCTCAGGGATGTTATAGTAATAATTGGCAGTGTGAACTATTGCTGAATAAATGTGCTGTGTAAGCAGCTAGAAATTGAGAATTAATGTTTCTAATGTGATCAAATCTGCTTCCTTGTATGCACTTGGTCCAAAATTTCTTCTAGTTTAAGGCATACAAAGAAGCTGACTTCACCTGGCACCCATGGCTGAAGGATGTCACAGAAAGCATTCCTACTGCCACCAACACTAATTGGCCCCATGCAAATACAGGCTGATTTTTGTTGTATCTGTACAATATATACCACAATGCTGACCTTTTCCTTCAGCAGAGCTCCTCAACAGAGATAATAAATAGCATTGATTAAAAAAGAAAAAACTGTTGTTCTGTGCCTCTGCAGGAGTTTGTGAAGGTACCTCACTTGTACCATATTGCCTCCTTTTTTCTGTGCTTGCAACTACCTGGTATGGGGGGACCCCGGTGCATCCCCAGGACAGCAGTGCTGGTTGGACACAGGGCATACTGCTCAGCCTTACCTGAAAAGTGCTGCTGACCTCCCTCAGATGTGTCTGGCTGTGTCTGGTGGGAGGAACAGAGGTAAAGGAATGAGAGATTCTGGGACTAGCAGAACCTGAACACACGCTCCACCTAGATTACTTTTCTAAACTATAAGGGCAAATAATCCAGGGTGGAAATCTGGAGTAACACAGCTAAACCTGTTCTGATCCTGGCTGTAGCTCTGAGGTTCCCATGTTCCTGTGCTGCACAACATGCTGTCAGTACATCCAAGGGAGGTGTTTGGAGGGGATGAAGCAGCTCAAGTCTGGAACATCTCTCTTTCAGTAATGGTCTTTTGCAAATATCTGTGGGGAATGCAGAGATACTTTCTGGAACTACGTAATGCTAGAAAATTCACACACATCCTACTGCTTGCAAGATTGTTTGGTATGAGAAGTATTAACAAGAAAACAAAAATCTGATGCTGTGAATCATATTCTGGGGAGTGGACAGAGGGTGGCCTATTTGTCATTATTCTGTGTCTCCTGCTCATTTGCACAGCTGTCAACCCCAGGGCTGTTTGGAGTGGCTGAAACAGCAGTGTAGCAATGGACTGCTGCAGCAGAGGAGTTCAGCACTGCTTCATCAAATGGTTCCTTGGATCGAGCATAGAAACTGGTAACAATTTTCCTCCAACTGCTCTCAAAATGCTCATTTATGTCTATTTAATTTTTGTGTTTTCCAAAAAGGAGGGCATTTTTACTTGCACTTTTTCTGTAGAAAGAAAATGTCAGTGTTTAGTATATTGTTTCAGTTTTCCTGATATGATAAAGGGAAAGATAAAAGTTAATTAACAGTATTGTTTCCGAGATAGCAAGAGTTTGTCTTTGATGATAGTGCTTTGAATTAACCAGGAGGAAGCCAAAACGTTGGTTCAACATTTCTACTTTATAGATATTGGATATTTTTCTCCACCCCCATCCAGCTCACATATTCATTACCCAAATTGCCTATCCTCAAAGTGATAATATAGTGTGGTACAACATGCCCCGACAGGACACAAATTGACTCTGTGCCTAGATACTATACAGACAGTGTAAAGCAAATATCTCACTCTATTATCTGTTGTCTCTATGAATCAACAGATTACATGGTTCACTGGGTAGCTGAATAACTTTTACACAGTTTGCTCATATCTATTTACACATATTCTACAAAAAATGCATTAACACCAAAGAACAAATGTAAAAAAAAAAAAAAAAAAAAAAAAAAAGGATACCTGCAGAATCCAGACAAATTACACGTGAAAAAACAACAACCCACAATAAACAGTGATGCCTGAATTTCTTACACAAAATCTGCAGATAAGAAAGGAGTCTGTTCTCAAACAACAGAAATCTAAGACCAAGAGTCATGTGGAAGGCCCTAAAAAACCTTAAGAGGAACTTTATAATTTGTGATGAGTTGTGTTTGTAGCTGAGACTATGCACCCCATTTTACAGACCCGCAATATTTCAAAGAGTGGAGTTGTAACCACAGTGGGTGCTTTACTGACGATGTCTGAGCAGACAGATGTTTTGCTCCCACTGAGCTATAGATATTCAGGGCACCACACCTCCCATGCTAACAGTCACTCTTATCTGCTGTTTTGTACAGCACCCATGTTTTCAAGAAGATAGGCTGTGATCTCCATGCCTCGTGTGACAATGTAGCCACCAAGCAGCTGACATGAACTGCAGGTTTTGTGACCATTCACTGCCCCTGGGCAGCAAGGGCACACTTCAAAGGTGTGTAAAATCCTCTGGGATAACACAGCAGCCATGTTCAATAGCAGTATTTGGTACACCAGCACTGCTGAGCAGTGCATGTTCTTTTTTGAAGCAAAATGGTCTGCTGCCCTTTGGAACTGCTGAAGAGCTTCACTCCGCTTTTACTGGCATCACTGACAAAACAACATGGCCTAGGAAAAAACACAGTCCTGTAAAGTCAGGTGGGTTTGTTGCCTAGTTTGTTCGGAGCTTTTAACATATCCCAAACTTTTAGATAGTCCAGTCAGAGCATACCTCACTACTGATATGCTTCAGATTGCATTCCACATTAACAAATTACTGCTCTTCAATAGCCCACAGGCCAACTAAATGGTGATAATCATTTAATGCATGTGGGTTTTTCTTATTGTACTTTTAGAGACTTTTAGGGAAAATTATAGAAGTGTGTGGGTTTGCCATGTATTTTCACCTGAGTACTTTTTGCATTGCTTGCAATGAGGTCTTTCACTTTAGCACTTTAAATAATATTTTTATGTCTTGCTTCTCAGCTCATTTTTGTCCTAAAATTCAAGCAGTGTGAAAACAAACACTTGTAAAAGCAAAGGTCAGCAAAAAAATGCACCCACTGACTTCCTTTATTCCAACAGAAACAGCTTAAAAGCAAAGAATAAACAGTCTGTTGCATTTATGTAACATAACCGGTACGTCACAGCAGTACGTTAGTGCTGGAAACAGGCTATAAGTGAGCATAAAATTAAGTATATTTAATTATACAGATACTACTATACTGGACACCTTAATTTACTTTCTCAACATTAGAAGAATGTTAAAAGCAAAGAAAGAGAATAAATAATTCAAAATGAATTAATTAAAAACCAAATAATAATTTCAAATAATTTCCCACTTCCGCTGTGTTACTGAAGGAGCTAGTTGAAAGCTTTCCACTCTTGCTTGTTTTACAGAAACAAATGACTTTTTCTTGAATGACTTCACACTCTCCTTCACCAGGTCTGCAACACACTGGTGCACTTCCATGATCATCTCATTTCCAACTCAGACTCCATTTAAACCCATGCCCTGATTAGGTCAGATCTCTTCCACTTGTACCCTGTGTCACCAGAGAACAGCAGCCACTGGTTTGTCCTAAGACACTGGCACTGGAAGTTACCGCATTCAGCTTTTGTCCTATTGCCTGGCTTCTGTGCCCCTGATCTTATTCCAGCAGTGGAAATAGCTCTCATCTTCTCTTGAATGAGAATAGCAGTCTACCTATCACCAGGTGCTTCTTTCCTTTTTTAAGAGGTAAGTTTGTAAATTTCTGAGCCAGTCATTTCAAACTTAATGCTATAGTGAAGCAAAATAACAAAGCAAATTAACAGATGTATTATACTATGGGGAAATCAAATGGTAATATAACAAAAACTTGTAGCTATTCATTCAACTTTATTCAACAGAATGGCATCAGTAATTTATTTTAAGATTAAAACTAAACACAGAGATGCATTTAACTAAATTTAGTTTGTTGGCATGAAATGCATATTTGTGGGAAAAAGACATTTCAGTGCTATTTAAACAGCAGATGGATTAATCCAAAAACTGCTGAGAACTGGATTTTTTAAAAAGTGTGGTGGGAGGGAGATTTCTGATGTTCTGAGTTGATTAGTAAAAATTAATTTGAAATGGGAGATTTGCTAAAAGTGGTAGATTTTCCCTTTGTTGCCTGCTACATTGGGCAACAAATCTTGCATGGGTTTGGTAATGGAAGATGCTGTTGTAACAGCCTTTTGTGTGTCCTGATTGGAAATTCAGCTACATAACCCTCACTGAACTGTTTATTTTATGTACTTATTTAACTAACATTCAAACTGACAAGTCTCCTATTTCTGGGCTTTCTTTTTATACTTTAATGTATGCCTTATCAGATGAAGCTCAGATACTACCAAACTTTGCATGTTTTTGATTTTGCACATAAACTGAAGGGCAGAATTCCAATCTATGTCCTCAGTCATTCAATTTTTCAAGATCTTTGAACAAGACTTCAAACCCTGCAAAAATACAACCCAAATACAGACTTGCTTCTCTGTCTGTACAAATACGTGAAAGAAACCGGTATGTCAAGTTTCAATGTAGGCAAGCCTAATTGAAGCTTTAACTACATTCGAAACAAGAGGCAGGCAGCACTACCAAACTGCTTTATTCAAGGGCAGAAAGACATTCAGGAATAGAGTTGCTGGAATTATTCATTACAAATAAATTATCCAATTAATTTAGGCAATTTTTCTGATCATTAATAATTCACAAGCTGCTCCTGATAGTGGTGAATATGTGCATCAGC